ATGGTTAGCAAATCGACATTTACCGATCAGTCTTTTTATAATTCTCTATCACCAGATAAGACGCTTAGATGTTATTTAACAAAGTTTAAGGTGGGGGTTCAATCTTTAGTCTTTTTTATGAATGTTTTAAAACTGTTGTACGTCAGATTTTTTACTGAAGATCAGTGTGATAATTGCGACATAAACATTTGTAAAACAGGAAAAACAATTATGAATAGCATAAACTTTGTGATCAGTGAACATATCTATTATTACTGATAAAGATTATTTATTCATAATATACCTTTTTAAAATCTCTGTTGACAAATTAAGGAATTATCAAGAAATTAAGTTCCAAAACCCATCAGTCGAAGTTGAGGTTTCTTTCTATTTTTAGGTCCCGTTCGTCATATGCTCTTTACGTGTTCACCTATTCATACATCTTTAGCTTTCAATTTTATGATTTTAAGCGTTCAGAATTAACGTAGATCTAAAACAATCGCTTCGGACTACCGAATTACAAAGTGTTATTTTGATTTGTTCTCTTTTTGTTTCGTTCTCGAATATGATCATTATCATAATTAACGCCTTTTGCTAAAAATCAGTGTGATGAATTTGACATAAACAATTGTAAAACAGAAAAATAAGTACGACTTATTCAGGTCGGGAACACTACCTTATATGGATATGCATAAATTAGCATACTTATGTCCTCGAACATGTAATAGTTTATTTTTGCGTATGACGCTTTTTTTTTTATCTTGGTTTTTGACCAATCCAATAAATGAGTAACAATTCATGATGGACTACTACATGTTTACGATCAACCGAGAACACATGTTTTTTTACTGAAATATAAAACATTTTTTCATGCATTTCGGGATACACAATTTCGCTGAGTTTTACATTTTGTGTATCCATCTTTATCTATCGTGATATAAAGTATTCGTTCCATGCTCAGATTAACAGTGAGTTGTTTCTATGCGAAGAAATGAGTGTTTGAATTACCCGAAGTATAGCCGTTAATATGATTGATGATTACACGAATATTTCAGATATTGGTCCAGAAGACAGCAACGAAACAACAGTGAAAAACACAATTACCCATGAGATAAACTTTCAATCAGATAGTTAAAGAAAAAAGGGATCCTTGAATTTTGGGTTCGTAAAAAAGGGGAAGACTTAGAGTGTGTCAAATATCTATTGGTGTCACTAAAATGTCCCAGCTTTTCACAAAATTGATGTTATGATATTGTACCTTCTTTTATGGTTAAAGAAGTCATTTAAATCGAGGAAGGGTATGTATTTATTAATTTGTATTTAAGTAACAAACACGTGTAATCATCAGTTGGGGGTAATCGAAATGGGTTTATCTCATTGTTGAAGGCCGTACGGACATCACTATATACCTCCGCCTTACCATGAAAGTGGGGTAATACATATACATATGTGATCTAGTGATCAAAGATGATCCCGCTTGCAAAAAAACTATTTCATGGACCAAAAATAAAAGTTGAATGAATTTTGGCTTGTAATCCATGTTTCATATTTGTTTATTCTAAAAAGATTTTATCAAACGATATTAATTTGTCATAAGGGTTAAATAAGATATTCATTCTTTGGAACTCTTAATTTCATAATGCTTTATTTTCCCATAATATGTATTTAAATTGATAACAACTGAAAATCCATAATGGCCCTGTTCGTTTAGAATGTACCGGCTCATTCATAAGGGCCAAGTGTAAGTCTGTAATGGACCGGTTTGTCTTTTATTGATAAAGGTGCAGTTTTATTTATAATACACTTAATTATAGAATGGTCAATAATGCTTAAAAATATACGTCAAACCATCACGTACTTAAGACCAAAACGACAAATAACTTTCTCTTCTCGTTTTGTATATAAATTAGGCCGTTGGATTTTTCAGTTTAAATTGTTTTTTACACTTATCATTTTTGGTCCCTTTATAGCTTACTCTTCCGCGTTGAATGTCGTCTTGTAACCTATTATTGCTCTTTTTACTAGAGAGTGTCTTGGATGGAGAGATGTCTCATTGGTGCTCATACCTCAACTAATTTCTATATACTAAGCACGTTTTTAGAAAACCTAATGGTCAACATGGTACACACTATGGTCCGGAGCATTTAAATAATTGAAGATATCGCACGTAAAACGGCAGCCCAACGATAAAAAATACCTCTTAGGTAAATTTTGAGATAAAATCAGCAACAGACGGACTTCATCGATGGACAAAAGTGTACAAAATATATTAAGCTATTTACCGTCTCAGCTTTTTATAACAGATTTTTTTGAGAATACTGAATATGATGTGCTGACTTTTAGATCAGGTCCTGATAAAAAGTTTACACATCCAGTGCAGATAAGTCTGCGTCTGTCGTTACATCCATATTTCTGGGCATGTTGTAACGCCACAACGGGAACATGCTTGAAATTATGCAGTGTTTCAGTGCCATGTTCTTTGTGTTTTTCGAAGCAGCAATGTTTTTGGAATGGCATTATACAGGATACGAAAAATCCAATGGCATATATATAGATAGACGTGTAAGCTATTCCTTCAAAACCTTTTGACAGGTTTAAAAGAGCTCAAAGGATTTTTATACTAGACAGTGGTCACTTCATTGGAAATTTCATTGTTTCACGGGGAATTAATGCACAGGTACAATGCATAACAATGGACAAGACTTGTTTAACTTCTTTTACAAGGCGAAAAAGAGAGTCGAATCGTGAAGCCAGTGATTAATATTTTTTTTCATCTGAGCATGCAAATTGAAGATTATGTTATATATTTTACATTGAACACATTCGCTGAACAAAAACATTTATTATGAGAGTCCCGGACACTATATTAGTTGACAGTTTCCCCCCTAATTCCACGTGTTTTAAGTGATAGTAAACTCGTAGTAGCCCATAGTGCATTGTAGTTCATTGAGTCGATTGGTCAGTTTTTAAAGGCCATGTTTACCTACTATTTGGGAAATTACTATAAACATATATTCTGACGTCAGGAAATCTAGAGTTCCCGACCTGTTCAATGTGAAATAACATAAATTTTGTGCGTCATTGAAAATATCTATTATTGCTGATAAAGAATATTTATTCATAATATACTTTTTTAAAATCTCTGTTGATAAATTAAGGAATTATCAAAGAGTGGCGAAAGATACCAAAGGGACATTAAAACTCATAAGTCGAAAATATACTGACAACGCCATGGCTAAAAAAGAAAAAGACAAACAGACAAACAATAGTACACAAAACACAACATAGAAAACTAAAGACTGAGCAACACGATCCCCACCAAAAACTGGGGGTGATCTCAGGCGCTCCGGAAGGGTAAGCAGATCCTGTTCCACATGTGGCACCCGTCGTGTTGTTTATGTTAGTACAAACCCGGTGATAAGTCTTATTCGGTAGGTCACATTCGGGAAAAGGGAAACTAAGAAACTAAGGTCCAAAATCCGTCATTCAAAGTTGACTTTGCTGGCTATTTATTTATTTAGGTCCATTGGTCATATGCTCTAAAAAAAGCAACAGTAGTATACCCCTGTTCTAATACGTGTTTACCTATTCAAACATCCTTAGCTTTAAATTTTATGGTTTTGGGCGTTGGGAATTAAGTTCAAGATCAAACAATACGCTTCGATATACCGAATTATAAAGTGTTCATTTAAATGGTAGGGAATGCCATCATTTTTAATATCATTTATTAATCAAAATAAATTTTATTTTTTATTAACTTTTACCTTGTTAACCCCAAATAGCAACAATTTCGTTTTTATATCAATATTTCAGGCACACTATTCAAATGAAACACAATATAGCCGTTCGGGATTTTCACCAATTAAGCCAAAAATGTTGCATATAATCACAGCAATAACAGATTGAATTTGGTTTACCTCAGTACGCTTCAATCATATTTCATTGGATCAAGATGATTGGTTTGCAAACGTTTTCTGTTATGTGTAGTTTCACATCGCCAATATCATCTTTGTGACGGGTGCCACTTGTCGAGCGGGGTCTGCTTACCCTTCCGGAACACCTGCGATCATCCCCAGTTATTGTCTTTTTCTATTTAAGCCATGGCGTTGTCAGTTTATTTTCGACTTATGAATTTGAATGTCCCTTTGGTATCTTTCGCCTCTCTTACTCAGTCCAATATTTAAATTTTGATCAATCACTATCCTTTTGTCTCATTATTATAACAAGTCTGTTAAAATTTCGTCAACCAGATTGACCTTCATTATGTTCAAGTGGGAAAACAATTCTTTTTAAATGGATGAGTTTTCCTGTCAGCTTAGTGTATGGACAATGGATTGATTGACTGTAAATCAGATATCTAACGGAACATCTTGTAAGAGGGTCCAATATCAAAAGGCAGTATAAGATCAAGGGAACTAAGGGGAAAAACATAAACAGAGAAAAGGTTATTTTGAATTATGTTAAATTTAACGTAAGTTATGCAATATACAACATCTTGAAGTTACAGCAGTTGCTTTGAATACTAGAATCCTGCTAATTTTATCAAACCTGTCTTGCTACTATGCTGGAAAATACAGTATCAAATATGCAAGCATTAGAACAAGAAAAACAGAAGATAAATGTAAAATATGATCATGTGTGTAATGAAGACTTTGGCGGTATGGGCTATGGTAATTGTTGAAGGTCGTACGGTGACCTATAGTTGTTAATTTTTGTGTCATTTGGTCTCTTGTGGAGAGTTGTCTCATTGTCAATCATACCACATCTTCTTTTTTATATTTACATGATTTTATGCCGTTGATTTGGTACTTTTGAGTTCTTAAATTAAATATCATAAACATGTGCAGCAGGTATAATGCTTCATCACAGCAATATATTTGCTATCACTCATTATCTGTATCGTATATTTACATATTGTAATATATCCGTTTCATAAATTTAAAAAAAAGCAAGCCGATGAAAGAAGTAAAATTAATGTTATTTTATATTCATAGTTCTGAAACATAATACAACTGCAGACAAAGTTTAAACAATTTTATTATCTATATAACGACAATAGATCTGGATGTGTCTGCATTACTGTACTTTTTAATGCCAATAAATACACAAATGTTTCAAATATTCTTATTTCATTACAGAACATCAATTAAAAGCTGATTTTTTTATAGCTGTTGTGAAAACACTTTGGACATTTCTTTTCTCATACATCTTATTTTTCTTGTCTATGAGAATCCATTTGTAGTATAAGCGAACTATGTTTAAAACATAAAAATCCAGATAGAAAAGCTGCAACAGCTTTAAAGTCCTGGGCTACATTAATCAAAAGATGCAAATAAATTCCACCAACCACCTCTTCCTGAGATAACATCTTTTGGACTCTTTATATAAAGGCTTGTATAGAATACGAATACATGCTTAACAGTTTGGTTTGTTTAACATAAACAAACTTACTTTCAGACGATATGTAGTTTTAGGATATTGACAGTCCTCACCTCGAATACTCATTTACCAGGAAAATATTTTGAACAACTGAATTGAGGATCAAATAAAAATAAGCCGAAAGAACAATTTCCTAACAATGCATTCTCCCGACATAATAGCTATAGTGAATTGCATACCGCATTAATGTCATCGTTGCTTTATGTTTTTCTCATGTTTTGATGGACAAGTTAGATATCAAGTGCACTATGGAAGTCGCATTTCCGAAAAGGATACACAACACCATGCTTAGAGATTGAAAACACAAACAACAGTCTATAACCCATTGTACGAATGAATCACTAAAACAACTGGCGATGAACTAAAGTGATTCTATTAGGAAAGCATCAACTGCACCCTTTTATAAGACAATTCTAATTGACAAGTATGAATTCATTACATTGTATCAAAATACATATAAATAATCTCAACAGAAATATACAGTTCATATTCATTGACGGGAAGTCATTTTTTTCTATATTTACATAAATACATGTAACAAATGCACAATAAAGTACAGAAATGATTTAAGTTTATAAAATTTAATGTACACTATTATGGTAATGCAACACAAGTTAAGCAACACTTTCTCTTAAAACTTTTGTATCGGCACAGATTCATTAATTTTGCCATGCTACAATATGTCGAGTAATCGGTACATTCTGCAAAAGAAAAAAGTTCAGCACATTTACTTGTACATCTCTATGAAACATTTTTTTGTCATTTAAATCATTAGCATAGGCAATTTTCCGAAGCCAACATCGAGTTCCACATTTCAAAACTACCAAACAGTATTCAGGTGGAAATCCAATTGAAATTAAACAAAAGAAATGGAACTCTTTATTAGAGAAGGTAAAAAAGGCCAAGTTGGTAAATTTTAATTGTTTACATCTGTTATTATGGGCTTTAAAAGTTTAATGGATGTGCATAATTTAGGATTTTATGCAACTTATATATGTTTTTACTTAAATTATGGTATGGAGCTTCGAGATATTTGTAAACTTTTAAATTATAAGCAAATTTTCACAAAACAGTCGATTGGGGTAGGTTCAAGTGGATCTTTTTTGTGCATAAGCATACATTCAACAGAAAAAAAATTCCAAAGAAAGATAATAGATAGATCTTTTTAAAGCATTAATTTGCATATCTGTCCCCGGTGACAGTTTTTTTGGGAAAAATCCGCCAAAATGGGCAATAATTTCATCGAAAAAAGAAAGTCGAGTACATCATGTTATGTTCAGGCGTGTTTGAGTTGACTATTCTGTCTTGAAACCGTATAAACAAAATATTTGATACATCCACTCGCTTCAGATTCTATCATTTTTATATATCTAGGCTATAGGTTGATAAAATAACATAAAAAACTTACAGTACTAAGAAATGAAATATATGGGTCAAGTGAAGTATCTTTCTAATGAGCCATAACAACAGAGTAAGTGTGTTCGAATTACAATTTTTTATTAAAAGTACCTGACGACAGACTTTACAAGTGGATCTTAAAAATGCATAACTTAAAAAAATCATTTTTTGTGTGTGTTAGCTAGGGTTATTAGTCCTCAACCTCTGAAAATTTTTAGTCAGCCCTTCCACGAAATATTAAATCATATGTTTTTTTAAATATTTATGAATTTTCGAAAATTCCCCCCTGACAACTGACAAACAATAGTTTTAAGTTGACCAAATGCATAAAAGTACATTAAATTATGCTCAATGTCTAGTAGATACATTTGTCTTTGAAAATACAACTGGTATATAAGGATCTTAATGATGCTATGTGGATAAATTGGTCGGTTTTCAAGAGCTAAATTGACAGCGCGTCATCACTACAATGGTATCCATTTTTACGATTATAAAAATTAAGTGGCGATTATTTTGACGAAATAGAATCCTGACTGTATACACAGAGTCTATACAGAAAAATGCAGGACTTGTTGTCGGATTACTTACTTCATCATACACTACTACCTTATAAAAGCTTACTAGCAAAACAATAATTTGGTGGTATCGAATTCGGTCATTTAATTATGCATGAAATACTAATACTAATTGTTTTTTTTTTAATATGACTTACGTTCTACACGTCATATGTGATTGAACTGCGGTAACCACAATAAAGGTCATAGGAATTATGGCAACTGCTGTTACCACAATAAAGGTCATAGGAATTATGGCAACTGCGGTTACCACAATAAAGGTCATATGAATTAAGGCAACAGTAGTTTACCGATTTTCAATTTTCTAAATTGATTAGGAAAAGATAAATCAAGGTAACGTGGGGAATCGCATGAACTCCAAAAGGAGCGAGATTGAGTGAGTCAACAGGGTTACCGTCTGCTGTTATACATGTATTTTAAAAAATGTAAAAATCCGGCATAGGACACAATCTGTTAAATTACAGAGCAGACGTCTCAACTGGTATCTAAATATAAATCATCTGTGCTATCGCAGATAGTAACTTGACTGTGAAATATGTACAGTAGCTACGTAGGTCTTGGTTTCGTTCCAAATTTATTTCAAGTGTACTTACTCGGTTTGCATTTCGGCATTTGACAGTGTTTTCGAGTGTTAGGTTGAGGTAGATGATTGCAAAACTGTCCAGCTGGCAACCCAGAATTCGTCCATATGCAGGTTATCATACGGACAACGGAACCTTTCTTTTCGCATTCGCCCATACACTGCAAGTACACATAAATAAATTATGATAACCCGTGTTACAATTAAAAAACCATGCAAATGGCAGTTTCACATATCTTTACATTAACGTATTTAAACAAATCAATATTTTTTATTTGTTAAGCTTGAAATATCTTCAAACTATAGTTATTCCATCATAAATAGAAATAATGAGACTCATTTGGAAACCTTTAATGAGGTACTTATTCCTCATTTAAAATTGCGTAAGAGTTTCTTTTGTGAATTTGTCTGCCAGCTGACGATCACGAATCATGAAATAATCATCCTCTCAACACCAGGTTTAAATTTTAAAAAAAGGAACAGACGAATGTGATCACTTTTACATTTCATCACACGAACAAGAACTTTGGTTTGTGATATACCGTTTAATATTCACGAATTGCAAGTTACAGTAAATGAGCTAAGTCACAGACTTTGGTAAAATATCTGATTGGATTCTTTCATAATAGGTGAACATTTATGTAGACAGCACATAAAATCAGCAAAAAACGTTCTGTAGTTTGTCTTCATATTATCAAATCTCCAATTTCCAACACATTGATTTTTCTTAAAAAAATTATATGCTGTTGATAAATAAATTTCTGGTTTAATAATGTAACATAATAATAGGCTCACCGACATCGTCCTAATTAATGTTATAGGTGAAAAAATACCACAAAACGTAGAATTAAGCGCAGATTTTTGACCTTTTTTACTACCAACTAGGTTAAAGATTGGTTCATACTCAAAAAAGAATTCGGTTACCACATGGTTATTTTATATCATTAAAACAGAAATTAATGTATCAACAACAACATATATTTTTTTTAGAAAAATCTATGTATCGGAAATTGGAGATTTGATGATTTTAAGACAAATTTAACAACGTTTTTCCGCCGTTTTTGTATGTTTTCTATACAAATGTTCAACTATTTTAAGAGAATTCAATCAGTAATATTTCATAAAAAAAAATAATGATAAATTCATTATTTGTTTTCGATTTACAGTTAAAGTTCAACGAGTCAAAATTGTATGCAAATTTTACCAAAATCTGTGACATAGCCCATTTACTGTAACTTGACCTTAAGTAGGAAATCTATATTCATTATATTCAGATTAAAAATGCTAAAAATAGATAATAAATCAATGATAATATAACGATACAAAATCAAAACAAACTATGTATATATCGATCGGAAAATAATGTTTAGAATCAAACCGCATGTTAGTTAATAATAACTGTTACCTCTGACCACGAAGAAACATTCCACCGTGTTGTACAATTCTCATTCACACATTCTTGCTTAACGACTGGATTCTTAGGCAAGTCATTGCATAAACTGTCGTTAACATGAGATCCATCCATTGGATTTGTACAGTGTATCTTACGGGTCTGCATAGATATATGTTTACGTACACAATGCCTGTCTGAACACTGAAAGCATATAATTTCTCGGGATAATATAATAATAATTTATTACATAGGCGAAGTTATATAAGAATTAGAGTAACAAAAAATACCGAACTCCAAGGAAAATTCTGATTGGAAAGTTCCTCATTAAAATGCAAAATCAAAAGCTCAGACACATCAAAACAACTGTCATATTCCTGACTTGGTACAGGAATTTCCTTATATAGAAAAATGGTAGATTAAACCTGGTTTTATAGCTAGCTAAACCTTTAAGACTATTTTTGCCAAAACTGAAATTGACAAGAAATGAATGTAACAGGATGCTGTTACGAAGTCTCCCAAACGAAGCTCCCATAATTCGTAATTCCCAGGGTCGCCTGACATTGGGCAACATCCAGTGAAAATTAGTTTGGTCCAGTAAAGTTATATGCATTAGTGATGCCTGGGGACTAACCTTGTATATCATTCAAATCATCATGACAAACCAGAATATGGTTTAGGGGTGGGGGATCTCGACCATTTACAAGATACTAGAACATTGGGGGTGGGGAGGAATCCCTGGGGACTGGCCCTATACGTCATTCAAATGTTCATTACATGACGTACAGGAATATATATGGTTTAGGGGTGGGGATCTCAACCATTTACAAGATATTAGAACTTTCTCAAATGGCAGGGGGTCGGGATGACCCCTGGGGACTAACCCTGTATATCATTCAAACCATCTTAGCATGACAAACCAGAATATATATGGTTTAGGGGTGGGGATCTTGACCACTTACAAGATATTAGAACTTTCTTAATGGCAGGGGGTGGGGGTGACCCCTAGGGACTAACCCTATATTTCATATGATGTGCTTTATCATGACAAACCAGAATATATATGGTTTAGGGGTGGGGATCTCGACCATTTACAAGATATTAGAACTTTCTCAAATGGCAGGGGGTCGGGATAACCCCTGGGGACTAACCCTGTATATCATTCAAACCATCTTAGCATGACAAACCAGAATATATATGGTTTAGGGGTGGGGATCTTGACCACTTAGAAGATATTAGAACTTTCTTAAATGGCAGGGGGTGGGGTTGACCCCTGGGGACTAACCCTGTATTTCATTTGATGTGCTTTGTCATGACAAACCAGAATATATATGGTTTAGGGGTGGGGATCTCGACCATTTACAAGATATTAGAACTTTCTCAAATGGCAGGGGGTCGGGGTGACCCCTGGGGACTAACCCTGTATATCATTCAAACCATCTTAGCATAACAAACCAAAATATATATGGTTTAGAGGTGGGGATCTTGACCACTTACAAGATATTAGAACTTTCTTAAATGGCAGGGGGTGGGGGTGACCCCTGGGGACTAACCCTGTATTTCATTTAATGGGCTTTATCATTTAGAACATTTTCAATTAAAAAGATTGTGGCTATCACAAACGGTTTTCAATTTATAATCATTTGAAAATTAAAAAAAATAAAATCCCATAGGGTTCTATAGTAAAACCCTCTTTTCTTTTTGCCCCTCAAAGTACCCCTTTATAAACCCCATTGCACAAACAAAACCCTGATTGCACCACTAGACATGTTAGTCTAACATATTGTGAAACCCTAAGTTAATCTGACAAGCGGTTTTGGAGAACGGGTGCGGACAAGTTCAAATTTAAAAGCGGCGGAAGAAGAAGAAGAAGAAGAAGAAGAAGAAGAAGAAGAAGAATAATAATAATAATAAGAACTGAGCAAAAACAATAAGTCTTCCCAAACTTCGTTTGGGAGACTTAAAAATTGAAAAGTAAAATTATAAATTTTAACCATAACGTACCTCACCCCAGTCAGCAGTCTTCCATTCTACACATGGCTGTATATTACAGCTCCTAATAACTGAAGGTTGTGTGTGTCCGGCTTTAATACAAGACTTCATGGGGAACTCCTCAAAATAGTCTTTAGTTATAATCTCACAACTTACATTTCTAGCCTGCAGGCCTCCTCCGCAGGAAACCGAACAATGCTGCCATTTACTATATACAAGATGTAAAAGTTTATGAGTTCTGTCAATTGGATCCTTATATACAATTGCAGACGCATTTTCTCTAAGACGTGATTCAGATAAATGAGATAGAAATTTCTCTCTAAATACGGTAGCGTCGAAGATATCGTACACAGTTATAAATTTAATAAATGTATTTGCTTGTAAAGAACCCGCTTTACAAGTGTAAAGACCATTATCTAAGTCTCCTTTTGATTTTTTAATTTTGAGAGAACGTTTCTTCGATAACCTGACGCGTCGACCAATAGGAAGAGGCATTCCATCCTTGTACCAAGTAATTGTTCGTTTATCAATACCCTTTGTAGGACAATGAATTATGAGGCTAGTGCCAGGTAAAAGCGATCCTTGCATTCCTATTTTTAATTTCACTTTCCGTAATTTATTTAGTTGAAAGAAATGTGCCTCTGTTGTTTTGATGATTGGTTTCGGACAAGCTGGTAATTTACATTCAAGGAAACTGTCTGGCTTAGGTAATCCATTACAAAAATAATCAGTAGTGTTTATAAACTGGCCTGTAGCCAGAGTCTTTGTACAGTACACATTTCTTGTTCGAGATCCACTTCCACATGTAACGGAACACTATACAAAATATAAAACTTTACTTTCCAATGACTATTTCACGAATAATATAATAATATCAATATTCTGCAGGACATTTAAACAAGATTCTTGTTTCAGTATTTATGCATATTTATATGATCATTTAAGACAATATACCAAATGGAAGTCGAGATTATATGATGTCGTCGATAAATAAAAAGTAATAACTTTATAAATGCTCTTTTTCGTAAAAAAAATATATATAAATGGATTCGAAAATAAAATTCGTACTGACAAAGACCATTTGTTGTGCTGAAATATATTTGTCTTTTAATACGAATTTATTCAATTTTGTTTTAATATAACTTTTATCAATATCGTTGCACAAATCTTCAGACTTGTATATTTTTTCCTGTCTGTGTAGCATCAGCAGTTTCAATAACTCAGATATGTATTCATTTTGGCCATTGATTGTTTTCTTTAAACTGTTGTATTTCTGTATTAACTAAACAAATGTATTCATGATAAAGCTTTAAACTATACCAACATATAAAGCAATATAAAATTTCATACCTTTGACCAATTTCCAATTCCCCAAATTGGTGGACATTCTATTACATTACAACGTCTCTCAGTCTGTGGTTTACCATCAGAACACATAAAATCAGGTAACCGTAAGATACTATCGGGACCGGTTGCAAATTCTTGAATACAGTCTACTGGTCTCGTCATTAAGCCACCACCACATGATTCTGAACACTTATTAAATACACCTGTTCTCCACCTATAATATTATTCATGTCAAATAATTCAATCTTTTATTATATAAATCAGTTTTTGTAATGTTTAGCCAATTTATGCTTTATACTTTGACCAGAAGATTACTTTTTATATAACCTACGTGTGGTTTGTTTGGTCTCCGTTAGTCATTGGTCAAAACTCAATTATGAAGTTAAAGTTATTTCATACATTTGTTTTCTGTTGCAGAAATGTATAGTTCCGTAAAGTAATTGCTATAAAAGCAAGGTAATTACTTTCTCGGGCAATTATGGTGAGTTTCATATATGATATAGGATTTTATGTTTTAGACGATTTAAATACAATTTCCTCCATGAGAAAAGAAAGATAAGTCAAGACAACTTGTATTTCATTTAGATTTTAAACTCATGAGTGGAAAAAGGATTGTTGATACCGGAAATCATGTGTAATAAAAAATAATACAAAGGCTCATGAATATCGTATCTAATATTCACAGATATTGTTATCAGTGCTTAATTTTTATTTACAAAAATGTACCTTGAAGTTCAGTATTTTTATTATAATTTTAAAACTACCTAGAATTGCAGAATTCCATACATGCATCTTTACAGAAATAAAGGGAATGCTTCAAAGACCACGTTATCATTAACATACAAACAACTATATTTTATATATTTATATAATAACCACACTGTACAAAGGCATCGGGTGCATAATAGTGACTTTTCGTAATGTTGACCGATGTCATTTTGTATTTTGTACTCAGATAAAACATTTGCCCTGATATTTACATGAAATCAGTTAATGTCGACCTTACCGTCTGTTTGAACGAACACTAGTACCTTGTTTTCGCGTCCTAACCCCATGCTAAATGTGATAAAACAAAACAAATTACACCAACTATTGTATGAATAAAAAAACTATATTGTGATGACATTTTTTACCTCTGTGGACAATTTTTATCATTGCATACTTTTCTTTCACTTGGAATGGAAAGGGCTTCTAAACATTTCTTGCTTGAAACGACTTTGCCTGTTTGTTTATGCACACATTTCACTATTGTCTCTTGGACACCTTGAATATAAATTGCATACTACTACCAGAAACGGCACTTTTAAACCGACAATATTGTTTCCCTTATTATTGAAACAAATACAGAGCTGTATATAAAATACAAACCTTCAAACTATTAAGAAAACATCTTACCTTACTAAAATTGATTAATGCATAGATAAAAAAATATAATGTACTTATTACATAGGCGTGACTGTTGTATAAATAAAGATGTCTTTGATATGAGATTTATTGTATCTGTGTATACGAGTATATGGTGGAGAACAGAAAATGTGAAATAAATATTGCAAAATTAAACTAAGGCTTTCAGACCAACCAACGAGATGAAAACATTATTTGACGCAATAACTGCAATACAATATAGTTTACCTCCAAGACAACTTCTGCTACAATCTGTCATACCAAGAGCCCTGTACTCGTAATCCTCATAACAGGGCTTTGTGAAACAAATTTCTGTAGAAATTGGCTTATCACCTTAAGACAGAAGAATATTGTTAGAAGGCAGTACAAAACAATAAACCAGTGATGTAATTGCTATAATCATACCATATTAAGATCACTTATACAAATTAAAAAAATAAGGATTACGGTAACATTTTGTTAGTGTGTGTTCCTATTTCGATAACTTTACGTAATTTGTTTACTTATCTGACATCTTTTAACATTTACTGCTAGTAATGTGGCTAAAATAAACTTTTATGTTTGAAAATATATATATGTAAAGAAAATCGCATCTGTTTATTACTCATTGTTTTAGAATTTGCAACTAGTAAAATACTAGTATTAATGGTTGAGTCATGACACATCTTATTCAATTAAAAACCCTTATAATAACTTACCTGAACAATCACTATCAGGGAGATCAACTGTACTTTTAAGAAATGGTAAATACACTTTACAACGAACATGCCTCCATCGACTACCACTTTCGCATGTAGCACTGCATGGGCTCCATTCCGTTACTACAAATCTGTAAGGATTTTAAAGATAGATATGGTTGAATACCTTAGATTGTATTTATATACCGCTTCATGCATCATCTTGATGTGTAATAGCTAAATAAAGTTTCGATAATCAATTCTAACAGTACCGTTCGTAGAGACATTATGTGGTCAGGTTTCAGAAAATAATTTCCGTACATTGGTCAAATATAACATTGAATTCAAATAATTACAAATTGCAATATATATTTGTTCATTTTTTTTTTTATTTGTGACTCGAAACATGAATATCACATCTTTAGCAATGAAGCTATATGTTTTATCGTGTAATATACTAATCTCACAATCTGCATGTTTAATCTAACAAAAATATTTATTATTTAGACTGTCAGTTCGTTATAAGACGTAGCAAATCAATCTTCATCTAAAACATAATTAAACGTAAAACGCTCATGAATGAAGCAAAGAGTGTTTATATTTCTGCATAAATTGTTTTTTGACGGAATGTATTCTTTCTTTCATTTACAAACCAATCAATAGATCCCTGACACGTGGTCGGTTGTTTTACAATATAGTTCATTTTAGAACGGCGCCATGTTGCTAGTTTCAACAATTATCTTCCAGAAATGCTTTAATCAATGTTTAGAGGCCTGTTTTTAGTTTTCGATCATATCATATTTATCTATACGCTAAAGCTTTGTTGACAAATGAACATTCATAACTGAAATCAATGACAAGTTCACATTTAAAACGAATGTACACACAAAAAATAAAGCTTTTAAATTAAGCTTTCTCCCATGTTTAATACTTGACGTTTGTACTACAAATGTATTCGACCTGTGCAAACCGGATAAAAATAATAGAACTAGGGTCAGGCACAATTTTCCTCAATATGGAGGAGTTTCATATTTCAATACCACCCGACTAGGAGACATTTTACCTCCGACACTTATGATAATTGTCAAATACTTTTCAGCTCATTTATTTTTTTCTCCTAAATATTTGACTGATGGACCTTAACCATTGCAGTTTTATGGCACCCGTTTTTGTTGGCACCAGTGACCCTTTTCTTAAAGAAGAATGCCCCCGTTAACCTTTTCAATTTTCCAAGTTAAAAAGGGACATAACTCTAGAACGGTAAATGACTCACTGCCCAAATTCGAACTCTGTCTGCTTGTTGTAGTTCTTAGCATTGTGTATGAGTTTTATAAAATTTGAGTGAGGCAAAATAAGTAGGATGCGGAAACGAAGATGGGACAGAAGGAAGGACGGACGGACGGACAGTTAAGTGTAACACTTAATGCCCCCTTCGCCTACGGCGGGGGCATAAAAATTTCCCTCGCATTACCATATCTAATATACAACTCACTTTGGGGTCTTGAGTTGATCATCGCTATTATTTGTCTTTTCTAATGCCAGATTAACTCCTGATAGAACCTCATTCTGGTTAACAATAAACTTGTCAGACTTTATATCTACAACAAAACAGAAATCATTAATTCACGATTATACGGTATATTTTTTATCGTTATGAGTTGCTATTGTCAAATGTTACGAGAGCTTAAAAGAAATAGCATGCAATGCTTCAGTCGAATGTGTCAGAGACGATTATCTTGAAGAGGGATTAACCATTCTTAGATCTGTTATTGAATTAATGATGGAAAAAAATATCACAAACTAATTACAAGACATTAATACAGTTAAACTGTTGAAAAGCTCACACATTTTATGCAAAACTTATAAAAAAACATATCACATCTTGTTTTATTATTCATAGGGAAACAATAAGATTTGTGCATTTAGCCTTCAATTTCGGTGTCATGAAAAAGCTATTGCAGGGGAAATTCGCAGTAAGACATGCAGCGAACAAATATAATTTTATCAAAACGTATTCAGGTCTCTGTGTGATCTTAAAGCGACTTTCAAACAAGGCTCAATCGCCTATATTCTACAATATGTAGATACTTATACATGTAGATGAATGAATTGCTAAATCAACCCCTATTTCCGAAAATAAACAACAGAATATAAAGACAGTTAGAATAACTGTTACATCATATCAGAAATGGACCAATCACGCATACATGAAATTGGGATGAATAAGATTGTAGGACTCGACTGTATAATCTCCATCAGTTGGGTATCAAAAACTTTAATGAAATTTAAAAGTACTATCATGTACATCTGACAAGAAAACATGCGCACTTCAAGAATACTTATAGAATTGGCACTCAAAATTATTTCAAGCAAAGTCTGGTTTCTTCAAATTCATACCTCATTTAAATCTAACATTGGCAGTTGTACTTCAACATACATTTAAAAAAGCTATAGCTACGGAACTAAAAGTGTAAGAAAGCACGAACGTATCAAGTGTTTGATTGATGAGTCTTCATTGGACAATCAGACGCGACTAGAAACTTGCTCAAAGCAAACAAACACACTGAGTAGTAAAAACCCTACTAAAAGATGCAGACAGAAAATCGTGGCCAAAGAAAGAAGAATTTCGTATAGAGTAAAGAAAGTGGTCTTCTTTGTAATACATTTGAGGATGAAACCATCTTACGGGTAACTTCAATATCCTTGGACAAAACATGAACTTTATCAGTGACTTTTTTTTTGGGAGGGGGGTCGTTTTGGGTTCAGTTTTAACCACTGCATTTTATTCATTATTATTTCAGGAATATGTCAAACAAATTTCTGAAGATATCACAGTATTCATGCAAATCCGTCCAACTTAAATAATACAACGCAATTGTAATATTAAAAAAAATCGGTACATTGTCTACACATATTGTTTAGCCATACTCTTTCATGCCAAAGACATACAAATGTTCTTTCAAAAAAAAAAAAAACTTGTTATTTAGAACATACAGATCTTACAAGTCTGATATAATTTGGAAGAATACATAAATGCTTATTTAAAACAAAAATAAGTGAATCGGAACAAAACAAAACGAATTGAGAAAAATGGAGCACGCTGTATACATGTTCAGAACATACCACTTTAAACATATATATATGCATATTTCAATTGACGATACAAACAAAATTACGTTTTTTATTATCCGTACAGAAAGAAGACATCCGGATTTAATGTATCCGAACTTTATGAGAGTGCCATAAACATCTCTGGTCTCTGTGATGTACCTGTTTCTAATCTATTATATTAATGGGATTATGAGAACGAGACTGCCTACACTAGTGTAATATTATGTTAATTTGTACTGTCAGGGGAAACATAAAGGCATTCTTATTATAGAGGTCCATTGATGTACTGCTGATTAAATCTATTACAAGTGATGCATTATGTTGCAATAATTTAGGTACATTTCCTTTTATCGCCGTCTATTATAATTTATCATATGTACACTGTCTTTGTATTGCGTTTTCCCCAACCATAAGAAAATTAAGATAACATTACTATGCGATTTTAATTTGATGGACGTTTATCAAGTTGATTTAATAATATACCAAAGGCAATTTGTACTAAAAAACATTAAAAGCTGATAAATTGTATAACGTTGTGGATAGTTCAAGTGCTTCGTATGTTACAGACCTTCTAAATTATGTCTCGATTGTGCCAAAGACGTACCTGATCCCTGTAGAGCTGCAACGTAGCCATCTTGAAAAAGGAAAAGCATAAAGCATATATTCAAAGAGCATTCATACAACATTCCGCATACAAAAATATATAGCAAATATCATGTTCTAAAAGCAATGTAAATGCTTATAAGTACTAATTTGTATGTAAAGCTGCGCCTACACACTCTTACAATTTTCAATTTCATATTTTTCATGAATTCTATAACATATCCGGTTACTGTGTTATACAGGAATTTAATCCTCAAGTTTTATCGGTGTAAAAAAGTTCCATTAGCGAATTTTGTTTAAAGTTATTTGTACGAATTTTGTTTAAAGTTATTTGTACGAATTTTGTAGTTACTGGCATAAAGAAATACGCCAATGAAATTGTAAATAAATGTAATACAGCATTGATAGTAATGTTAATCAATTAATGTAAAATTATACAGTTAAAAGAACATTTGCATATAGATAAATAACATTAATGAAGATTGGATGATGACCTCGGTATTTCTTTTGTTTTTGTGTACTTGGGTTGCTGTCTGATTGAAACATAACCCACATATCATTTATTCATATTATATTTACACAGCGTTCATCAATTTTTCGTCTCCATTTAAATACACAGCATCATGCTTTTTCATTTGAGGATTATTATTTTTGTAATGCTTTTATTTTCTAAGATATAAACTGTAATTTCCCTTAAAAGATATGGGAATTTTTTTATGGTGAGTTGTTGATTAATTTTGCGATAAGATACGGTTACATGTATGTGTAAAAAACAAAGATCATATAGATTGATTATTCTCTCCTACAATTATATTTGACCACAAATTTGAAATAATATGCTGCTAATTTTGGACTTGAGAGAAAAGAATGTTGTTTTCGTTTAATCTTATATTTGAAAAAGGTCCACAAAATAACGTAAAGTATATTTTATTCTACATTATCAAAGATCATACAATAGAAATATAACTTGCTATACGGATTACAGTTGATAGAAAGAAAACATGCCAAAAAAAGCTTAAAACTATTTGTTTTTTTTCTTTTTCGTAAATATGAAAAGAAAAATCTAAATGAAGATAAATCTCTCACCATTTTGGTTACCGGCATTTTGTCTACATGGAATACTCGTTGAACAGTTTCTGTAGGCCAAAGGAGCCAGTGAAAAATCACAGAATTGTTCTCCTGTGTGTCGACATTGTACTTCTCTTCTCTGGTAGCCAACTCCACAACTACCACTACACTGAAAGTGAAAGATCTTATTTTTAAACCTGCTTTAGAAATAGTTTTGTATCAACATTGTGTTGTATAAACATCGAAGAATAACCATAACAATACTAAATCATAAACTCTCGGATAGTATCAAACCGAATGCTCAAAATCACTAAAAATAATCACAATACATAACATAAGCTTTGACATATAAGTTTGGAACAAAATAAATATTGTGTTTATGAACATTGCCACTAAAGGATGGACGAATTGAATACAGTATAGCACCGAATCCGTCAGTCGTGTACCAAAACTACCATAAAAAAGGCAAATGAGCATAGACTAAAAAGGGGGGATTTCAAAAATAAGCATTTTTATAATAAAAAAGATTAATTTGGTTAACGTATTTTAGACAGACTGTTAACAATTCTATTTTAGTGAATGTGTTGAGTTCTCTTGGCACGTGACAATTCCAGGGTATATGCTATTGAAATACTTAAAATACTTCCTATTAAATGATTAAAATGGCTTTTAGGATGTGGCGAATACCTTGAACATTTATAAACCCACCTCAATACATACCTTGTATTAAATTTTCTTACTTGTAATGAATGTTTTAAATTTAATATGATATTTCTATTGACTTACAGGTGACCATTCCCCAGCATACCAGGTTGGGCAGACTTGGGTATTACATGACTTTCTGTTAGATGGCTTCGGATGCCCACAAAGTGTTCCCTCAACTTCTATCTCAGTAGCATTAGCAAACATTTCTATACATATAACAGCCCGCCATGAATATCCGCCATTGCACGTAGTAGAACAATCACTCCACGGGCCAACCCGCCAATTGAAAATGCTACAATTAAATCAAAACGAATTGAATATTGACATATTTGTTCTCAAGATTTTCAATTAAAATATGACATCGTCTGCTTATGTTCATGTTGGTGCTCTTCAATATATATGTGCTGTATTGCTTGCTGAATACGATCCCTTTTATCTGAGTATTGGCACCCCTGTGTATTCTGCCAATGTAGATACGTTGCCCATTCTTCACGGTTAAAGACGGGGATTATTTGTAACTTGTGGTATCAAATGGATACAAATAATAAATTTCATTTCACATATTTTCCCAAGCAGCTGATTACATGATGATTCAGACTCGAGGAAGTCTTCAGTTATTTTCTCAAAGTAAGTATGATATAACATTAGTAAAACCCAAAGGCATTATTATAACATGAGAATAGATTTTAGACGATAAGTTTTGAAAAATTTTGTAAAGTGCAAAAGTACAAAATATGTCCCTACTTATGTGTACATGATAGCGACAATCATAAAACTAGTACTTGTTAATTTTAACCTTTATTAACAAAATAAACAACTCTTATATGGATGATGGTCAATATTGTTATCATATAAAAGACGGATACATTAACATTTTTGATTAGATATTTTTATAGCGTATAAGGTCATGAAGGTCATACATAGAACTCATGATACACTTTTGAAATCAAGAACACCGAATATTTCTCATTCCCGCTTAATGAAAGCCTTGAATGGGCCTGGAAGAAGTATTCAAAACACAACAGAAAACTATATGTCATCAACAACATAAATTAAATGAACATATATGGGAAACTTTGTTGAACTTTTATTCAGTTTAAATTGCCTTTGTTAGCTTTTTATAAGTTTGATAACAACGCATGCTCGTTTTCAAACATGGGAATAAAATGTGCAATTACCTTGGTGGGCAGGGCTGTAGGTAACATTCTTCTCGTTGTGGTATAGGCCTTTTATTCTTTGTACACCATTTGTTTGACACAACCCTCTTATTTCTCTTGTTACGGCAAACAAAATGGGTTTGTTTCACACCTGCGAATGCATTTAGCAAAACATGATGGCATGTAAATTATACTTACAAAACATTTCATTTATTTCTTTATATGTGCAACTATACAATAGCTTAAATATTTTAATGTATTCATATTTTTATTGATATTAATTTTATTATGTGTATGATCTGATAAGTGCAGATTTAAAAGATTAGAATAATTTGTGTTGCTTGAGGCTTGAACGTGGTAAAATGAAAATGTCAAATACACATTACAGATGATATCATGGTAGTTCATTTCAGTATGATGTGTCTTTTGGCTTTCCTTCTTTCTTTTTTTCTATTTGTTTTATTTTAGATAATAATTATCTGATTTTAAGTTCATACGATTAATATTCATTCCAATTGTGACATCTGATGTTTTTTTTATTATTTTCCTGTACAATTTTTTTCTCTCTATATTACAGTACATCAATCGATTTGTCATCGAAAGAGTGCTGCCGTCGTAGATTAAAAAAAAACTATCGATAAAAATGTAGCACTAGCTCGAATTATCCCGATTGGTCTTACATAATTACACCCTGTGTATATAAAAATAAGGAGATGTGGTATTATTGCCAATGAGACAACTATCCACCAGAGACGTAATGGAATATGTTGACAGCTCTATCCTATCTGAAAAATATAAGGGCATACACTACAGGCACGAGCACACATTCTACTGCATCCACACATAGAACATTTAAACTGTTAGATTATACAGTTTTTATTCAGCTACGGTTATTGTTTTAGTTTCCCAAAATGGCACTATCTGGTAAACTTTTTGGTCATTATCTCCTCACGTATTCAGGTATTTGTACATCCCTGGCTTTCAAATGAGCGCTTCGGACACGCAATTCCTATTGTGTTACTAGTATTAGCTTTTGCTAGAGAAAGATGTGTCGTAGTAAGTTGTTATATGTGACATTGCGTCTACGTTTTCTGCAGAATGTTATTCCCCACATGGTATCACCCCCTACTTGTGATTAAAAACTAATTACAAAAAAGAAAACGAAATGAAGGTCAATGAGACTCCAACAAAAACATAAATAGTAAATGCCAAATAGGGTCTTCAATGGCAGGCATGCAGCGAACCACATCATATAAGTTGAACGTAGTCCTTAGTCAAATCAAGTAGTTAATGAATTTAACTGAGATGACAAAAGATGAAGAAAAACATGAAAAAAGATGAAGTAATCACAACTTTTAAGTTAACATTGAGAAAATTGTCATTCAAGAGGAGATCTAGAGTGTTACTTTGAAAAAAAAGGATTAATCAACTTATCAGTGATTTACAACTGACTGTTGACTGGCGAGTATGATTATACTGTAACAAGGACCTTGATATATTCTTCTCTCAAGGGATTTAAACTTGTACTTTTAAGATGTAAAACTCACTGACCTACAAAAATGTAACAGTACAAAGCTATATAACCACACGGTCCCCTATAATAAATGTATTATCTGTTAAGATGTAAAGACAAATTGAACGAAATAACAAATGCAAATAACTAACAACCGGCAGTTAATAGTTATAAAATAATATTGGTGTAATAAAGATATTTTTTTTTATGACCGTCATATATTTAGTTAATAAACCAATTCTTTTACTCAGTTTCACGTACATACTAATTCAATCACACAAGAGGAGTTGCCACAATAAGGTTGACAGTGTAAGGAATGAGGGAGATAATTGTTGTACTCAGTTTCACGTACATACTAATTCAATCACACAAGAGGAGTTGCCACAATAAGGTTGGCAGTGTAAGCGATAAGGGAGATAATTCTTGTTCTCAGTTTCACGTACATACTAATTCAATCACACAAGAGGAGTTGCCGCAATAAGATTGGCAGTGTAAGGGATAAGGGAGATAACTGCTGTACTCAGTTTCACGTACATACTAATTCAATCACACAAGAGGAGTTGCCACAATAAGGTTGACAGTGTAAGGGATAAGGGAGATAACTGCTGTACTCAGTTTCACGTACATACCAATTCAATCACACAAGAGGAGTTGCCACGGCAAGGTTGGCAGTGTAAGGGATAAGGGAGATAGTTCTTGATTACATATCCATGGAAATAAACATCCTTCTTTCCAGCACATCTACAAATGTGATATGATTTCAGCTAGATACAAGAAGAGTTACGAGTTTAATCCTGAAACTTTAAAATTCAACGCGATATAATCTTTCCTTTCATGATATGATTCTAACATTTATGAAACGATATGGAGAGAAAAATAAAATAACAGGACAGACGTACGGACAGACAAACACCTACACATATATTTACCACGCATCCCATACCAAACAAACAAAAAGTTTATCCTTAAAAATGGGAAAATTAATAAAGAAAAATAGATAAATGAATTAAATTAGATTAAATTAAACATAAATACAAATTAAACATAACTTTATGGGAGGTATACTTACATAATTGTTATCATTAGAAAATTTCTGAATCAATTATTTACCCATAAAATAACTTTTTTTATATTAATGAAAATTGTTAATTTTTTTTCGTTAGTAGTTTTGTGATTTTATTGGAAAGTCACCGGTAATATTATAATGTATAACATTTCAGATGCCAATGAGATACACGTGGCATTCCAATATATAATCGTATCTTGTTAAATTATTTAAAACGATAAAACGTTGCTTTAATGAACCAAAATCTGTTCCTTATCTTTGTATAGTTTTTTTTTGTTTTTTTGTTTGAGGGATTTATAATTTATAATGGTTGATTTATAAACTTTTGCTCAAATTATCTCGATGATCAGAATTAGATATTTTTATTTATGACTTATCAATTAATCTGCAAATCTTACAGCTTTTAAATATCAAACAAATTCAACAAATGGTCCTTTTCAAACACATATTGTTTAGTGGTAAAATGGTTGGTAATTTAGTATCTAGTAAGTCTAATTATCTTACGCGACTGTTAAAAAGGATTTGACAATAACTTTGCATGAGACAGTCATTAAATAAACGTTCCTACGGAAGGCAGAATATCTAGCAATGCTGGACTTCTAACACGAGTATAAATGCGTATATTGACCCACAAGTTTGAGATGTACATTCGTTAAGTGTGTTGTTCATAATAAGGGCAAAGTCTCTCATATAAAATGTCTAATTAATACAAGTATAACACCTTAATAGCTTAAAAGGGAAAGTATCCTGGTTAAAAAGAAAACTGAGTAAAAGACAACAAACGTAACAAAACACCACCCAAAATCTAAGGATTAGATTGTGCAACACGAACCCCAGAAATCCCAAGAACCCCAAATATGTTTTTCAAAAATAAAATAAAATGAAAATTACCTACACCACAGGAAGAGGAACATCTACCAAACCCGGTGGACAACCAATCAAATCGTCGACTACGTCTTCTACATATCCCATCACCTTCACATACCCCACACTTGTCTTTAACTTTAGTGGAATTGAGAACACGGTCACATCCAACGGTCTGAAAATATTACAATTATGCAAATTTCTAATAAATACGAAATTCTTCTATCAGATGTTGTAATTTAAAATGTCTCTTTATGCATGAATTGCCTATCATTTTTGTAAAATTTTGCACTTCAGAGCGTCTTTAATCAAAATTAACTTATTTGTATCAGCTTTGAAAAACAATACATAGTTCGAATAGAATTTTGGTTAAAGTTAAGAATGTTCTTTTTTTGGAACTAAGCCGTAATATTGTTAGAATTCGGTATATCAGGTATATATCTACGATGCTATATGCTACTGTGATTTTTTGTTATGAAGATTGACAGACTATTTATATTGTCTCTGATGTAAAAATACTTTCCGTTTTGCGTTCGGTATTTTTGTTATTTTACTTTATACAACATTTCTTTTTTTTATATTATTGATCTACGATCTAAGGGCTATTCTCGTTTTATTAAAAAAAAGTTAAGGTGTTGCAAACTATCAGATTTATCATATATTGTATCAATAGTGTTTAACCTATATCAAAGAAATTTCGTAAACCAACAGTTTTTATTCTTACGATGATACCGTTATACATAGTAAATTGATTATGTTCGCAAACCAGTTGTTTACAAGAATAGTGTTCTATATACTAGTAGCATGGCTCTGGTTTTGTGATGACTTCCATATTATTTTACTGCCAAGTGGCCAAGTAGAATCTAAATAACTATATACATTACATATAATTGCAATTACTATATCTTTTTCACTATAGAAACGTTTATGAATAAGCGAATTCTTGTCTTCCATACTACTAAAAGTTTGTTTACTTGCTTTCGCTTTAGTATAATTTTATTACAGAAAAATGTGCAAAATCATTTCCTTCATTCTCAATTAACCCTGAACTTCACAACGTTATATAAGACGCAATATTAGTAGTCTGTTGACGTAAACCAAAATAGAAAGCACCTGCATTCTGTAATATGAATGACTAATGTTATAGTATTCAGCTCTTCATTTTATTATTATTGTATAAATACTTGGACATATATATGCCGTGTCATCATGATCACAATATACAGTAAAACATCATTAAAATATATTTAACCATTTACGTTAAAATCTTCAATGAATAAAAAAAAAGGATGTATGTAGTCACTTCTTATTCGTAGGCGACAGAGGTATTGTTAGAAAAAAAATCGAAAGTTATGTCGATTCGGAAAAAAATCAACTTTTAGCATACTAGAAAAATTATAAGTAATGGTCAATAGACACTGGGGACAAATGCCTGTTGTCTGATTTTGAAAGAACAATATCTTTTGAATACAAAAAGAAAAACAAGATGTTATCCAATAAAACCGAATAATGAGATTTTCCTTTTGGTTGAATACAAACAGTCCCGGTATTTATATATATCTATCTTATATAAGATACATAGACAATTCTCTAAAGTTATTTATACAACTGAGCATATAAAGAACAGACGAAGGGAGTTATAGTTTTATGACGTCTTTACGCTAAATTCGTTTGTTTTGTGCTGATTGATACTTTAGTCTGAGAGAACATAAATCGATTTATTTATTAATTGTTATTGGCTTTAAACTAGCTTTCAGTAACTGTCAGTACTCTTAAGGCGGTACTTTGTGTCTTTATGACAGATGTTTTTTTGTGCTTGGTGCAAATTTGATAAGTCAAACCATTTCCAGCTGATTTTACAGTTTGTTCTTAATATGTTGTGCTATTACACCACTGTCCCAGGGTAGGGAGGGTTTAGCACTTATGAAAATATTTAACCCCGTCATTTTCTGGATATGCCTGTCCAATATCAAGAGCTTGTAATTCAGTGGCTTTTTCGTTTGTCATAAATCAGTCTTTTCTCCTTTGAATTATTTTAAATTTGTGTCATGTCGAAGCCTTTCATGGTTGACAATCCGGTATAGGTTTTGCTCAATGATGAAGGTTGTACGGTGTCCTATATTTGCTTAAATCCACTTAATTGGACTCTGTTGGATAGTTGTCTTATTGGCAATCATGCCACATCTTCTTATTTGATACTTCTTAACGTGTGATTTCGTAAATTAGGATGTTGGAATTTATTTTTCATTGCACCAATAATAGACTATTTTTTTCTTGCTTGGGTGCGTCCTGGATTTTTTTATGAAATCTATCTCAATCAAGGGTATTTTTTTTTTAATTTTCTTGTGTGTCTGTTTATCTTTGATCTGAATATAATTTATTTATGTTAATTTACATACTTTTATTACTATTTGATATCATTTATCTAAAACTTGTGTAAGTCTACTACCTCACTGAAATCATTACCGTCTATTCCAAATTTTAATTTCCATCAGTTTATTTCATTAAACTGGTATTAACAATAAAGGGTGAAAAGTTGAAGCTAATTTGTTACTTAATAGAACAATTTGTTCGTGAGATGCAACCAAAAACCAGATATCACATTTTGCTGTAATACACATAATAATGTTGAGTCTATGGTTTCTAGCCTCGATTTGACTATGTAGAAATTCAGATATCTAGGTCTAAAACATAAACATAATTTCTGTATATCTTGAACAAAGAAAAAGGACAATATGAAATAATTTTAAAAATTGATACATGACGTTCAAATTGAAAGTTCTTATCGTATAATTGTAATTTGTATATAACTGATTTTTGATTGATTGATTGATTAGTGATTGCTTTACGCTGCATCAGCACAAAAAGGCTATATCGCGGCGATACCATGATACTGATTTTAGATATTCGTTATACATGTAGTTGTGATAAAGGTACCAAAATTCAATATATTCCACAAAAAATTGGGAAACATTTGTGGACATGACAACGCGATGTACACAAAATTCAACACACCCTTATACACATTAAGACAAACACGGAAACCGTTAGAAATAAAAGGATAAATCTGTGGGAACCCAAAGGTTGAGAGAACCTCGTATGGTATCAGTTCTAAATTCTGGATCTGAAAATAGTTTTTACCTTTATAATATTGATATACGTTGTAGCATATAACCAAAACGTGTTATACAGAACCTCGAACCCCAATATAATCTCAGTTTGCCAGAGGGAGTTGCTATTCAGTCCAATAGCTCATTGGTTGTTCCTTGCTTAACGGATAATGACATAATTCAACTCAAGACGAGAAAAAATAATAAATAAATCTAAAATAATACATACAGGTTTATTCTATAGATTAGGTCTACTGGAACGAAGAACTGAAAACTTGTAATGGATGCCACGTGAAAACAAGGGCACGTTGAATTTTTACCTTGCGACATGTCAACTACGAACCCCTCAAAAAGTTTTTGCAATGGTTCTTTAACATACAGAGAGCACTGGACTTGGAATGAGTACACAATGTAGGATTTGTTTACTGAGATGTGAGAAGTCCAGGTGACTATATTCCTTTTACCCCAGAAAATATAACTGAATTAATGTTGTTCTCATACAACCCTGTGTTTGTATCGCCAACTCACTGATAAACATATTATATATAACTCTACAACATTATTAGATATCTCGGTACAAAGCACAACTTATAACGTTCATATGATATGTTTTCTGTGGCGAATAACGTCAAATTAATTAATGATGTAGTGATAAATGTTTATTGATGAGATCATCTTAACACAGAGTGCTTTGTAGGTACAAAATAGCAGCATAATATTATAGTAGTTACTACATAACAAATTTACCCAGCATTCTCCGTTGATACACATATCGAGACCGGTCGGGCGACATCGAGTACCGTCAAGGACTTTTGGAGAAAACAAGTGGACGATATCGGTTCCATTAGCCTTGCAATACAAGGAACATGGTCGTAGAGGGTCATGGTGAGGAATCCATGTCAGCTTTCTTCCGTATAGAGCCTCGTCGTTATGGGAACTGCACTGTAAACTTCTTAAACTTATAGCACCTTTTTCACATGGCTGTAATAAACAAATAAATTATTTTTTAGTAGTATTGTTACCTTTTTATTATTATCATCATTGTTACTTTATTACTCAATTTGTTGATATATCTTCAGAGAGTGACAGAGAAGCTGTCTTTTACAATTTTTCAAAATTTCTAACAAGAAGTTAAATCGAAAAAACGTTAACCTAAAGCCAGGGATGCGTAAATACATTGCAACGTTGTAGCTATATGACCACAAAGGCACTAAACAGAATAGCTAAATCTAAACTGACAATCAATGAAAGATTTCCGTAAATATCCATCAAATAAATTAAATTCTTTAGTTTGAGAACTATATACTTAGATTGGTAGACAAAACTTTTTCGTTCATCGTCTAGGAAAAGCTTAAGAGATTACAAATATCAAAATTGATTGATTGATTTCTATTTCGTTAACGTCCAATAGGAAATATTTTATTTACATTTAGAAATATCACGGGAGGAGCAGAAAGTTTGCCTTGCAACAGGTTCTTTATAGTCCTTCAAAGAATAGTTGCAAGAGTTCTCTAACATGCTATAACGTAACATTATTACAGTAAAAATATCACATTTTACCAAACAGCCGTGGCTGAGTAAACATATATCCAAAACGGAAGCCACAGTTCAGTAAAAGTCTTGCTTTCAGACGGTGAAAAGTTCAGATAACCATGTCTATATCCTTCACGAGAGGGGTGTAAAATATCCAGGAACACATTTTGGCATAGTTGAAAACGTAAGCAACGAACACTCTGAACTTCTGAGATAATAATTCAACATCTCAGGTAAATACATCTATTTATTTATGAAATGAGAGGCGGAAGATATCAAAGGGATATTCAAACTAGTAAATCGATGATAAACTGACAACACCATGGCAAAAAAAGAAAAACCAACAAAAGACAAACAAAAGTATACAAAACACAACATAGAAAACTAAAGAGAACTGAGCAACACGAATCCCACCAAAATCAACCAGATGATCTCAGGTGCTCTGGACGGGTAAGCAGATCCTGCTCCACATGTGGCACCCGTCGTGTTGCTCACGTAACTTCAAACTCGGTGATAAAACGTTAAATGTCGTAATTCCTAATTTGATTTCATTTGATAACATTGAAAACCGGTTTAGCCAGGTTTTGTGGTGCGAAAAACTTCCAATTTCAAATGCAGTTACATTGTATTCATATATATAATTGCTTACGTATCACAGAACACAGCTATCAGTTTACATAAATTCTTCAAGTATGATGATAAAAAGGATTCGCTTATTTACACGGGCGTTAAATTCCTGTTGTTAATCTGAAGACATATAGTACTTCGGTGAACTCAATGTTTGTAAAAACATGTATAATCTGAAAATTCTTCAGAAGTGATATTGTCTCTTTAGCAGAAAGTTCAAAATAAGAATGTAAGAAATGTATGGTTGATATTTAACTTATTGATTCAATGGAATGTGCACTCTATATTCGAAAATTTATTATCATTGATGTTGAAAAAGAAATCTACATTGCAGATCATTAAATCAAGTTTGTGTTTTTGAACAATTTATAGCAACAAAAATTATAAGAAAGATCTTTGTTAGGTAAGCAGGCAATATTTGCTTGTTTGATGTTGTGTAAATAATGCCAAAAGACCGAATGGTATGTTTAAATAAATCCGATATTTCAAAAGAAATCATATGAAAAGATAATGTTAAGACTTTATACTCAAAGAAAGTGATCTTTTGGCTGGCCAAGTTCCTTTGGAATTATAATTATGAAGATTTATATAGATATATGTTGTGCTTCTGTTTTTACATTGCTTCTACTAATTAATTACAACAGACTGTTATAAATACAAATCGTTTGATGTCGAAACGAACATTTATAGAAGATAAAGGACAACTTGCGTGTCTCGCGGAACATCAGCTATTTTTCACGCGGACACTTTATTATGGTGTATAACATAACAATTAACATAACTTACCATACGAAGAACATTAATTATATTAATATAAAACTGACGACCAACATCGTTTCAATGTTTTTCATACATTATTATAAAGCTAAATTATATTTTACGAAACGTTAAATAGTTAAAAACGATACCATTAAAACTATGAATGAAAGCCAGTTTTACGGCAATTTGACTCTCGTAAATGTAGCATGTTAAGAGACTTGACATTTCCCCCTAAATTTATTCTAATAGCTTTTCTTTCGATTATAAGTCGATGAAACATAGTGGAATTAGAAAATTTAAGACGCTGAACAATATACTTATTGATTATATACCTAGAAAAAGATTTTTCAATATTTTTACAAATATAAATGAAATAAAGATGTTATTAAGCCCTAAACATTAGTGTAAATTGCAAATTTTGAATGCTTTAATATAATTTTGTAAAGGATTTTTCAATCTATTTACAGATGTTAATTAAACATTTTTCATCCCTAAAAATTACTGAAAATTCTTATTCTATATAAAGAGTATTTCAAATTTTACACTATTTTGTACAATTTTGTATTGAATGACATCCATAACAAAATGAATCGAACTGTACTTGAAAGAGAATGAAAACCATACATTAGATAAGATATTGGTTTTGGTTTAGAATGTCCTACGTATGTCAAATCTTTCAAAATTGCAGTCTTAAGAAATTTTCAAGTATAAATGTTCTGAAATGTGATATGTTGGCAGAACCTTAAGGTTTGAACAAGAATCTATGATACTGTGAATTATTGTGAAGATTCAAAGTTTACAAAGAATGAGAAATGGTGGAATTAGACATACCTCTTTCACTAGGAAAGAGGTATGTCAAATACGAACATATATAAATAAACGATGTATACGGAAGATGAATTGGCTGTAAATTATACTGCACGACACCGGATGAAAAGGTTTAAATTTAAGTCATCTATCAATATTGAAATTAAATTCAACGTAAAGAATCAACCGAATTTGACAATTTACAAGTAGAGCTGGTTTAGAAAGAAGAAGGTATGATGAAGCCACTCATTGGCCCCTTGAATTCGAAAATCAAAAAGTATTATAAATCTACCAAATAACAACATTCAAATGTTCATATGATATCAGTATTAATAGTATTGCTTAATGTCTTAATTATTTGGATCAGGCAACAATCTTTCTGAATTAAGTGCAAATCATCATACCCTAATTTGCAGATCCTACGTTATCTACTTAAAAAATGCTGAAAATTTAGATATGAGCAACCAACCAACTGCTTTACCCAAACAGATATTTTGTTACAAAATTGTTTCCGTTTGCTCCAAAAAGTTATGTGCAAAATGGTCTTATTTGTCAATTATACCAATTTCAACGTGTTAATGACTTTACTATTTTTTGCAATTTCAGGGGCCCAAATAGTAACCCTTATCGTCCTTCCTTTCGCATATATATAACCCTTCTCAGTCGCTCTTCAATTCTTGTATCACGACATTGCGTCATGAGCAGAACTTACTAGTGACGTAACAATGTATGAGGAGACGTAAGCAAGCATATTTTCGTCAAGGTCAAAACTGTCAGAGAAGGGAAAAGACCACAAATGTCACGATCAACAGATTATCTGATTTTCTGAGCCTAGATATCGTAAAATATAAGCCGCTCGACACATCGTCCGCTGCGTTCACTCGCCAAAAAGGTTCACATTGTGACTCGCTGATGATATTTTACGACATCAATGTGTACAGTAGAAAACTCGATAATCTATACTTACAGGAGTTGTTGCCCTTAAATAACGATTTCCGAGATCTACAAAGTTACCATATGGTTAAAACCATATATTGGATCCTTAAACGCAGGGCTGTCCTTAAATGAATGTTCTTGGCGTTTCTGTTCATTAAACTTTTATACAAACACAAACTGAAAACGGCAAAAAATGATGAACAATAAAGGATCTACAAAAATGATTACATGATTGAACATAGATACCAGGCTTAAAATGTTGTACACAGGACGCGCGTGACGTCTACGCAAGACTCATCTATAGTGGCGCTCAAAAAAACAGTTGGAAGGCCAAATCAAATACGAAGTTATAGAGCTTGAAAACCTGAATATTCCGAAAAAAAACGAAACCAATTATTGATTTCATATACGAATTATTTGGCGTTCATAACGACTTTTTAGATATAATTATCATGCACCCTTCACGAGACATCCAATTTAGTGTGCTCCACCCAACCGTGTGTGGCTGCGTATTTATACATCCAGCAGGGCAAAACTGAAGACCCTCTTTAACATTGGTTTTATTGCCGGAAGCGATAATTACCATTTTCCTATACCTTGTCCCCCTGTCAACCCTCTAGGTCCCTATATTCTGTCCCCCTGTCAACCCTTTAGGTCCGTATAACCTGCCCCCCCCCTGTCAACCATGTAGGTCCCTATAACCTTGGACACACAAATGTGTGTCTAGTATCTTGAAATCCGTAGTCCGCGTGAATAAAAGAAAATCTGTCTGAGGCAAAAGGTCGACATCTTTTGTTTATCTTCAAAATTGTCAGACGATTCAATATTGGAGTTATTGCTCTTTATCATTATTCGTATGAAATTTTAAGATTTTTTGATGTTTCCTAAAACACAATGGACAAAGAGAAAGTGTAAACAGCAACATTGATAAACAAGCCGTTTGGATGAAGATCTATAAATTTCATAACGTCTAAAATTTCTTCAATGTATCATACAATATTATAACCGCAGCTACGATTAAATAGTTGTTTCCTGTTAAATTTGGAGGAAATTCCTTGAAAAAAAACCTCCGAAAGCACAAGTTTAAAAATACTTATGACAAAAAAGCATCGTTTTCCTTATTCAATATAAAACTTCTTTAAAGCAATCTATCTTTATAACTTTAATTTTACACAAATAATAGTAGACACAGTAAATAGCACGTTTAGTTATTCTGTTAAACTGGATCCAATATATCCTGGTTGTATAAGTATAAAGATAAGGAGATGTGGTATGGTTGCCAATGATACAACTATCCACTAGAGTTCAAATGAAGGTATGCTTAGGTGTTTTGTTAAATGCGTGAAGCTAATATATGACTGCATCATTAAATGAAAGTTTTGTTCTGTTAAGTTGAAAATGGACCTCCCAGAAGGAGGGTTAAGATGTGAACAAAATATGAAGATTTACAACACCATTCTCTTTATTGTCTTGACAACATTTCATACAAGAAGACAAATGATGCAAGTTTTATAGATATTTTTTTCGTTTTGTCATTATTACTGCCCAATTACATTAGATCATTGGTACTTGTTTGTCTTAGTTATTTTACTATAAATTCATTTGACATTTGACATGATTTAGACGACATAATAATTAAGTCATTCTAAGCACATAAAAATGAGGTTATTTGACTGTTGCTAAAGTAAAATGAGGTTATTTGACTGTTACTAAAGTAAAATGAGGTTATTTGACTGTTACTAAAGTAATATGAGGTGATTTGACTGTTTCTAAAGTAATATGAGGTGATTTGACTGTTACTAAAGTAATATGATGTGATTTGACTGTTACTAAAGTAATATAAGGTTATTTGACTGTAAGACAGTTACTAAAGTCATTTTTCCTAGTCATAGTCGTGTTTTTTCTTTGCCTGTTTATAAGCTTCTTCAGAGAAAAAAAATGATACCGTAACCCAAAATAAAAACGACGAATGGACAAACAACAAAACGTAACATAAAAAACTACAGACTGGGGTAGGCAACACTCATCTAAGCAGGAATTACCACTGATCAGACATTGTATATTTGCAACAACGTGGGAATGTGTTTGCAAGTACAACATATGTTAAAACGAAACCAACTGTATTGAAAACAATACGAAAAATGCTTAAAATAAATAACAGACAGCAAACCAAGGCACTTACTTTACTGTAACCTAAAAACAGACAGCAAACCAAGGCACTCCCTTAATTGACACCTAACAACAGACACCAAGCTAAGGCATTCCCTTAATTGACACCCAACAACAGACAGCAAACCAAGGCACTCCGTTAATTGACACCTAACAACAGACAGTAAACCAAGGCACTCCTTTAATTGACACCTTACAACAGACAGCAAACCAAGGCATTCCCTTAATTGACACCTAACAACAGACAGCAAACCAAGGCACTCCGTTAATTGACACCTAACAACAGACAGCAAACCAAGGCACTCCTTTAATTGACACCTAACAACAGACAGCAAACCAAGGCACTCCGTTAATTGACACCTAACAACAGACAGCAAACCAAGGCACTCCGTTAATTGACACCTAACAACAGACAGCAAACCAATGCACTCCGTTAATTTACACCTAACAACAGACAGCAAACCAAGGCACTCCTTTAATTGACACCTAACAACAGACAGCAAACCAAGACACTCCGTTAATTGACACCTAACAACAGACAGCAAACCAAGGCACTCCGTTAATTGACACCTAACAACACATGTTCACCAAACACTTACATATTCATTATAATAATTTGTTTCAAGCTTTTACACTTCTGAATATATTTATTTCAGAAACACAATACATTTATAGTATGTTTGCTTAAACACATTTCTTTGTGTAAAGCCACTAATGGCGAAAAATTCTTAAGATGAACATTACCTTATTCACTTTACAAATTCGACAAATCGATAAAACCCATATCATCTGAACTACATGATGTGCTACGTATTAACCAATAACTGTATCCTGTATTTATTTGATTAAAGTAAATGCTCAAAAAGACATGTCTTGAACTTATTTTCTTTCTTAAACCCATTACTACTCTGTTGAAATGCCGTTCTTTAGTAAAAATCTGCATGGTAAACGGTGTTTCCACAAAAACGTAATATATATGTAGTCATTGGTGAGATTTCGTTGGAGTGTAAACTTATTTCAAAATGAAATTGTTGTGATAAAACTATGCCTAATTATAAGGATCACTAGAGGAAATATTATCTTGTAATTACATGTATAATACATAAAAATAAGCATAACATTCTTTACAGGAGAAGCCTTTTATTTTAATCTTAATTTGTTTTATAAGGCTAAATTCGTCTCTTTACCTTCACTTCGTATCATCAAAATAGTATAAATAAACATTACGTCACTCGGAATACGCCTACCTTGTTGTTGCAGGTTTTGTACTTTATATTCCTTCCAGAACAAGCCTTTCTTGTTGAACTGAATTCGTTCCTATAGAGACACTGTCGCAGACGATACGTTACTCCGCCACCACAAGATCTTGAACAAACACTCCACTCGCTCCAGTCAGACCAGTATCCGGCTGTTGTTGTGACCACCAACTAAAAGTATGGAAAGATTCCAATAACTTATAATTACATGTATAAAACATTTTTTTATCGAAAACTCTGAAAAAAAGTCCCACGAATTTGTATCACTTGGCATACATATATAATTGGCATCTATCAGATTCGAATAAATGAAATCTTTTTGCATTTAGTGCAGTCGAAATGCCTTTCTTAAGTATCCTTCATCACTAACGCCTAAAGACAGATGAATTATTTGCTAATTTCAATTGACCGTCTGGTAACCTCATTCCAGTAGATTAATGCAATTATTAACTAAAGATAACTTAAAAGGGGAAATTAATTTATTTTCATTATAAGAACACGGTACCTGTTTAGTTGACTGGCATGATCATCGGAATTGTTACAAAGTATAATTTTAAAGGACAATAGAACAAATATATACAGCCATGTCGTCTTTATGTTTCCAGATTGAAGTGTTTGTTTAGCATTGCATTCCTACTTTTCTATTTATAGGAATGCTTGCTATGAAATATTTTGAACTTTCTTGTACTGTGGACCACAAAATAAAGACATGTATCTACTAAAACATCTACGAGATTGTTTGTGCAACACCCAACAATAAAAACTTCATGTATACTCAAGATATGAATATGTTCCACAATAAATTAGTTAGTAAAATTGTAGGTAGAATGAAAATAATCGGTAACGACATTTGTATGCTAGGATAGAGACATTGATTTTAATCTGTACTGTACCTATAATGTACTTATTCCTTTTCACTGCTTACTAAAAATGCGCGGGATATATCTAAATACGATCGTCTTTAGGTTTAGTTGTTAACCTCAAAGTAATTACAAAGAAGGAAATCCAGGGACGCGCTAACAGCTCTATTTGTTCAGTGCCTGGACATTGTCTCCAGTACGCTGGAGATCTTTCAAATGAAATGCTTTCGCAAAACAGTATTCACGAAACTTCATAAATAAACGCCAATAGTTGGCAACTTTACCACGCGAGTTAATCAAGAATAAAGGTCAAAATGTGCACTATTGCAATCATCAGTTATATAACAATTGCTTAAATACACGTCATTTTGGACAATGTTGAATTTTTGTCTGATTGGCATTCATACCACATTTCCTTATTTCATATATAAATATAAACGAAACCAGGATAATGCATTAAAATAAACTTTTTCGAAGGCAAAATTAGAATATGATTTCAAAATAAAAAAAATATTTTGAAGAAGGCGTTCTAATTTATACATAAATTTTAATTTTTATATATTGTTCATAAAGATTTTTTGCGATGTCATACAATAAGCAAATTACAGTCATACATATCGCATTTTCATATTGAATGTATGTGCTGTTTATATACCAGGACACTTTTTAATGTGATAATTTTATTGCTTTAAACTTCATATGCATATAAAATATAATAATGTCTTATTCATAATAAATTGTTTTCTTGCCTCATTAAATTTTGTATTTTCATTAATCTTTACCTATTCGGAGTGTATATCAATCGTATTAAATGTACTGTGATAAACAAGCTATACTTTAGCCCATAGGACATCTGGTTGAAATATCTTGACACGAAATCGTATCAAAATCTTGTTTCGTACGAACGAATAAATAAGACATGACTTAAAAAAATTAAAAAGTAACTAAATCAACACACTATAAGTTACTCGATGTCATAGTTACATGTAAATACCTTTTAGAACAATTAGACTCAGATTAGTGTAAATAAAAATCTAATGGTTTTGTAAATAAACAAAGAGATAAAAATATTCAGTGCTTTTGAGTCTAAATAATCATCTATTTGATCAAACTAAAACCAAAATGAGTAATGCACATGCTGTCATTGGACAGAACTGTATCGCCAAAAAGAGCCAATCGAAGAAATGTAGCACACACAATGTCATTGGACAGAACTGTATCGCCAAAACAGCCAATCAAAGAAATGTAAGCACACACAATGTCATTGGACAGAACTGTATCGCCAAAACAGTCAATCGAAGAAATGTAGCACATACATGTACAATGTCATTGGACAGAACTGTATCGCCAAAAACAGCCAATCGAATTAATGTAGCACACACAATGTCATTGGACAGAACTGTATCGCCAAAACAGTCAATCGAAGAAATGTAGCACACACAATGTCATTGGACAGAACTGTATCGCCAAAATAGTCAATCGAATTAATGTAGCACACACAATGTCATTGGACAGAACTGTATCGCCAAAACAGCAAATCGAAGAAATGTAGCACACACAAAGTCATTTGACAGAACTGTATAGCCATGCAAAACAGCCAATCGAAGAAATGTAGCACACACAATGTCATTGGACAAAACTGTACGTCAAAACAGTCAATCGAAGAAATGTAGCACACACAATGTCATTGGACAAAACTGTATCGACAAAACAGTCAATCGAAGAAATGTAGCACACACAATGTCATTGGACAGAACTGTATCGCCAAAACAGTCAATCGAAGAAATGTAGCACACACAATGTCATTGGACAGAACTGTATCGCCAAAACAGTCAATCGAAGAAATGTAGCACACACAATGTCATTGGACAGAACTGTATCGCCAAAACAGTCAATCGAAGAAATGTAGCACACACAATGTCATTGGACAGAACTGTATCGCCAAAACAGTCAATCGAAGAAATGTAGCACACACAATGTCATTGGACAAAACTGTATCGCCAAAACAGCAAATCGAAGAAATGTAGCACACACAATGTCATTGGACGGAACTGTATCGACAAAACAGTCAATCGAAGAAATGTAGCACACACAATGTCATTGGACAGAACTGTATCGCCAAAACAGTCAATCGAATTAATGTAGCACACACAATGTCATTGGACAGAACTGTATCGCCAAAACAGCCAATCGAAGAAATGTAGCACACACAATGTCATTGGACAAAACTGTATCGCCAAAACAGTCAATCGAAGAAATGTAGCACACACAATGTCATTGGACAAAACGGTATCGACAAAACAGTCAATCGAAGAAATGTAGCACACACAATGTCATTGGACAAAACTGTATCGCCAAAACAGCCAATCAAAGAAATGAAGCACACACAATGTCATTGGACAGAACTGTATCGCCAAAACAGCCAATCGAAGAAATGTAACACTAATCGAAATCCACTTCTGTCGTAGTCTTCTGTGAAAGGTTTTTTTTTTTAAGTATAACGAACAGCCATAATACCAGTACTGCTTCTCTGTTTATTACATGTGTAGTTTATAGAAAAAAGAAGACATATTGGATGACTTAAACAATCCACATCGGTGTGGACTATTACTGTTAACTCCATACCACCTAATCATTCTCAACAACGTCAGTATAAACGTATGTTTAAGCATATAATTACATTACAATATGAAAGGATAACATACACCTGGAGGCATTATACTGATTTTCCCAATAATTCCATTGCCATCCAGGGAATATCTGACCAAAAATGCTTCGGATTTATTGAAGTTCTCCGTCCCCAAACGTAGCAAATTACCATATGATTGTTTTCTCCTCCCCATAAATTTCGGGATTTTTTAAAATTATATTTTATATGCCACTACATTTTTCCCAATTTTCATAGGTTTTAAACCTAAAAACGGTTAAATATACATGTAAAATATAAAACATCAAATCCACAGCAACAAACATTCACTCATAAATCTAATTCGCAATAGACTGAGAGGAGGGAATACTGAAGAACCTCAATATTTGAAGATTTGTAGTTTTGGAGGGGGAGGGTGCGGTGCAGATATTATTTCATCCCTTCTTTTTGTACTATATTTTTCTTCAAAAAGCCCGAATAAAACTTAAGATAGCATATATCACACTACTGGGATTTAATGCTGCAGAAGAAGTTCAATGGACACTCAATCAGCAGAAAACCTAAATTCTGTTTGTTTTTTTACTTGTCAAAAGTTTTTCAAAAATAGTAAAATTATAAGCCCTATCTAATTTCTTCCTATTACAAATTTTCTCCACCCTTCAAACGATCTTCCGATAGTTATGCGCGGAACGAAATCAAATCCGTAATGTTAAGTGTAGTTTACACAGGCAAACGACGAGAATATGAATAAACGTATACATAATCATTATTATAAATATTCTTTAAAACAGTATATTGCACAGCTTGATACAATACAATGGGATATGAATCCTATAGTATACAGTAACAGGTTTTATTGTCCAGTTTAATCCTACAGTAGCCAAAGAGTCTAGATTTATCAAACCCTTAACTAAACATCTTTAAATCAAAGTAAATTATTATTACTGTCCGAAACATTAACTTTCCTTAATGTTTCTTAAGCAACAATTACGCTTTCTTTTGCTTCATTAATCTGTAAAAAGTTCTATGACTATCTTTATTCTATTTTCTTTTGATATAAAAATTTAAAGCCTTTTACTTTCCACTTTTACTGTGTTTCGTAAGCACGTCAGTGTTGCATTGTAAGGTGCTTTAATAAATTTTCTTTCTATTGACAGGCCTAGTGATTTGAGGGAGGAACGTACTGTAATGTTTTATCCCATTATCCACACTTAAACTATTATTTAATCAGACTGTATGCTCTTTGTAATAATTTTCTTCTCAAGCTGTACTTTTATCTGATATTTTCTGGCCAGAAACCTATTGTATAAAAAAAATAAAGCATCCCACCAAATAACAGGATATACAAAGGCACATAAAGGAAAGGGTATGATATTACGACTGGTAAGTTAAAATATAAAAATAATAAATTCTACAATACATCACCACTTCAATCAATTTTGTGCAAAATAATTGAGTGAATACTTGATTGATTGCTACGAATTTAACATCTTGAAGTAAATATTTCATGCATGATCGGGACGGGAACAAATTAAGAAATAATCCAATAGATATGACCCGCAAAGTACGTCCACCCCAGGAGAAAGAAATTTGGACAGTCACTGTAAAATAGTGTACGGAAAATGTATGTTTGATAGTGGCACGGTTTTTTTTCCCTTGCAACA